ATCTGGAATCTAATGTCATTATCCCTTGCGAACGCGTATGTTTTACTGCGCTCGTTATGCACCTTCATCACGCGATAAACATGACGAAAAGATGAATGAGAGATTTTCAGTCATCCGTTAGTCACCTCTCGTAAACTTCTTTCGTAAAGTGAATAAAGTTGAGGAAAAAGTGCTAATCTCTGAATTTTTTTAATTTATGATTGGAAGAGAATTTCAATAACTATTCAAATAAATCTGTTATATATGATCCTTCGTATTTAACCTTTAAATGAACTATCGTCTTTAATTTAATATTAGACTTTACTTGTTTTGCATGTTTTAATCATTTTTTTATACTGATATTTATTGATTGTATCTTGTAGCACTGGAGTCATAAAATAAGCAAGTCTAAATATGGAAATGCCAGACAAATAGTTATATCAATTTATAACATACAGTTAATTAAAAACTGCATACGGCTATAATACTTCAATAATCTATTTTACGGGTTAAGCGAAAAAGGTAAATGCGAAGTCGGCGTACGATGTTTAATACCGACAACAAGCCTGTTCGCGCGTCACGGATTTATTTTCACCTTTAGTACGTTTTCCGGCTAAAATTCCTCGCTCAGTAAACGCATCGCGCCGGTACGATGGAATCGTTTTATGGGAGCTCGAGAATTCCGCTCCGGTCGGTTGACGCGAGTCGACCTCCGACTAGGGGAGTGCCCGGGAGAATTCGAGCTGGTTGAATGAAAGCCATTCGGGCTGATTTTTTGTTAAAACTCTCTCCGATGCAACGCGACGCGACGTGCGGAACTCGACTGAAATATTCCCGGCGTGTCCTCGGAGTCCAGTGAATTCTTAGCGAGACCGAACATTCGAACGTCAACTGGTTTCTTCGCTTTTCTACTTGATGCGTGGATGCGAACACGATTTCACCATGGAATCATCGGGTACTGCTCGAAATATGCGCTGCGCGCTCTATTCTTAGTCATCGAATATTTTTTTCTCTCGCGTGCCAAACACGAAATAGGGTTCAAGGGATTCAAGTGTATAAAGACTCAGGGTAACTTCAAGTATTAAAAATACTGCAGGAAAGAAGGAAGCATTTGTGTAAGTGTATTATAACAATGTTTTATTGTATGATTTGTTATGTAATTGCGGCTATATGATGTATTTTATGATTTAACACGATCTTCCTACTGAAAATAAACTTTGATGATTACTAACTTTGAATATTTGTCAGATCTTTTGATATACAATAAGTATACTTGAAAGTGTTCTGAGATTTATGAACATATGGGATGTGTAATGATCAACGTTTTCCCGGTCATAATAATACACGACGGTGATATAATCCAAGGGTATGCCACAAGTGGATCCTTAGACATGTTCATAGCATTTTTATTGAGTCGAATCGACTTACTCGAAGTACATAATTTGGAAGACGATATGTGATTTGAATATACATAATTTAAAAGATACTCCGTTCAAGAGACACTACTCGTTTATTAAGTCGGTGCAATTCCAAGGGAAGGCCTTCGATACGTTCGATAAGGCTTCGGACATCATGCGGCTTGTAATCGCGCACGGTATCATCGTAAGCGTGGCAGTATTTACGGTCTCCGGCAAAGAGAATATGGCCTTTTAGTTTCAGGATTCACCCTTCCTCCGTACGGGTTTCCTGCGAAGCATCGTCGTAACAAATAAACAGATCAGGCGAGGTTAGGTAATGGCATTAGAGCTTTAATAGGATCATGTGGGAGGACGATCAAATAGCGAAGACTTATCGTACGATGGACAATAAATCTACAGCTTAATGTACATGGATACGTGTTAATAAAGCGCATACGGGTTTATCCCTCGTTCGCATTCATTTACTTACCATGTATCTATCTTACTGTTCAATAATAATTGTCACTGATGTTTCCGCCGGTTGGCACAGAAATCGACGCACGTTCCCTTTTGTCTCCGTCGCCTGTGGCTTTGAATAGAAATAAAATTTCACAAACGACGCGATCGTGTAATTGTCGGTTCGTTTGCAAATAAAAATGTCGATCGGTTTTCATCTCAGTTTTCCATCCTCATTCCGCTACGAGAATCTACTCTTCCGTTCCGTCCAGTTTTATTTGAAAAAATATACCGTTTCCAGTTGTGCCCGTCCTCCTTTTATCTCGGCTAATAAATAAATTCATTTGGCCGCTGGCATCTCACCAACCACTGATTCGCGTCGACCACTTGTTAATTGAAATTAAATAATAGCATTCTTCTCTATGTCCGAACAAGCTAATTTACTGACGCAAAGAGACAAACGTTTGGGCAAACTTCAAATGTCTTCATGAAAAATGTCTTTTGTTACATCCACAATTGTATGGTATGTGAATAGTGTTGACTCGAAAGAAATTAATCGCTTGGGACCGGCCAATAGTGGTCGTCATTATTCTTAACGTGGAACGAGAAACCCCAGACTCTCGTTACACATGTTGGGTAACTACGACGATATTATTCTTTCGAAAAAAACATTACATACTTTTTTTTGCTTTGTTAGTCATACGAAGTATATAATTCAACAATCATTGCTTACAATTATTTATAATTAAAAAGCGTATTGCTTAAAGGAATGGTTAAAATGAAAAATAGTTAAGAGTTAAACATCGTGGGGTCCGCGATAAAGTTGACACGTGGACGTCACGTTATTGTGAAAAGAAAACAAACATTAAATAACCATCGTCGATTGTCGCATAATTGCAACGGGTGCCTACTGACCTACACACGTGCAAGTCGAGCCCCGTGCCGACAGCGTAGCAGCTCGTTTCGCGGCTTTCCGTGCGCTCAGGTTTATTTGCGTTTCATTGTAATCGGAGTTCATTCTCCTTTTGCTCTCTTTCGCCCCTGCTTCACGTCGTGTGCTAGTGAATGGACCGTGTATGCGCTGTGCACGCGTTCCCGTACACCGATCGTTAGACGATCCATCGTTCTTTTCTCTTCGAAATACAATACTCAGCAATAGAGAATGCTGGTTAACCCGAGTCCCGCGAGTTTGGATTCCACGTAATTGGGTTATACGACGAGCTTATTGATTAATGGGAAGTCGTTCCTTGTCGGAGTTTAGTTTAGATCAAACGTACAAGAATATACAGCGGAACAAGGGTTTCTAATTAATGCTCGTTTACTGAAAATGGCAATCGTGCTAACTTTCTAAATTCATTTACGCCAAAGCAACAGCTTTGTGTTAAATATGAGTAATCATTCGCAGACTTGAAATTCTCTATTGATTAAGATTTAAATGTGAATAAATGATACTTTGACAATAATTGTTCTATCGATCTTAAGCGGTTCAATTAATTTAGCGAACATTTGTACACGTTTTACTTTCGATGGATGAAGCAAGTGGCGGAATAACGCTTGTTTATGAAATTTTATCACTGCGGGAAAAGAACGTACTTGTACTGTATTGAAACGCGAATAAATAACTCTTTAATCGGCTTATTGTGTCGCCGATGATATGTGTCGGCTAACGCATGTACACAAGTTATATTGGCAACATGTAATATTTAGTACTCCGGGCTGAAACTATAAGGTCAAGTATCCGCAGATCGATGTTCGTTCTTTTACCGTTCATGCACAATTAATTGACCGAGGCGTATGCCCTGTCCGAATTGAACCTACACGCAAAGGTTAAAACCAGAACCGTTAAAATTTAAACCGATTTATCAAACCATACAGTTTTGATTGCTTATATCCGCAACGTGGTAGAAGTAGATTAAATAGCGAGTACTGCAAAACGCGCGTCTTAGACATTTTTCTACGTGTTTAGTGTAGCGCTTTCATAAGAACTGAGTAGTTAAATTTTTTGCGGAGGGAAAGTTATCAAACAGATTCAGAGCGCGATTCGATTACCATTTATGGCGTAATTCCCATAAATGTATATGTGTGCCACTAAAAGGCGCATGTATAAACGTCGTTTGTTTTCCAATTCGACTATCATTAAATTCTAATCAGGTAACCCGCTTGAATTCGAAACCAATTACGACGATTAGCTATTTCGCGCTCGCGCGCTAGCAATAAGATTGAGTGACACTTCTGAACCTCGTATTTGCGTCTTTTAGACATACATTCTCATCGACAACGAGGAACATTTCAACTTTCAATATATAAAGATAATTCATGTTCAAATAGTTCCTAACATTGAAATTTCTTTCTAATGCATAAGTGCAGTAGTCTAAATGGAATTTGAAATTCCCTTTTTTTATATATATATAATAGAATACACACTTATTTACAAACTCAATGTTGGGTTTAATGCATTTTTGTAAAAATGCAACATTAGCACTTTCTACACCAAGCCACAGATATACTTATGCGCATTTTTTTCGTCGCGCATCGTGACCTGGTCCTGCTTTGTGAAATAGTTTTCGCATTAGGTTCTGTACCGACTCTTACTTGTCCCTGCTCTCTTTTGACCATTGTGTGGGTATTATGCGCAATAACACCCGAGTTCGCGAGTACTCCGCTCCTCTTGTACACGCGCATTTCTTTTCTATGCAAGATAGAAAGACGCGCAGAAGTATGAAAACACATATTTAGATACAGCTCCTTGAACTTGCACTTTGTACCATAATTGTTGCACTTGCACCAGTTAACGAGCGCTTATCTCTCTGTTGTTCTCCAGCGCAGTTTTTAGCCATTCTTCGCATATGTAATTTCAATTGTTCGAATAAATAATGAGATGTATCATGAATGAGGAATCAGCCAAACGATAGAAGCACGACGAAATAGAACTCGTGATTCCTGGCTTTATTTTTATTTAGTAGATGCGTATTTACAGATGTAGAAACAACGCGAGTAATACATCATAAATATTTGCAGCAACCACTTTGATTTATGCTGATGTTTTATTATCAATTTTGCAATTATATTTTGAGCGTAAAGATCAAAGCGCTGTTTGTAAGATTATTTTGAACAATGTTACCATGTGCGAAACTGAAGTTTAATGTTTCCGCAATGCTCGTGTTACAGGTTCTGCATCCGTGGAACAGAAGAATGGAAACGGCAGTGCGAAGAACAACAAGACGAATAATAACGGGGTCGAGGTGAACAGAAACGAGGAACAAAATGGCGAGCTTAAGAGTCAAGCGAAGAAGAAGTCGAACGGACCTGGAAGTGGTCCTTTGCTACAACAAGCGTAAGTGTTGCCGCATTTACTGTGTACTTCGTTAATCCTAATACTTTTTCCAATTCTAATGTCTTTCGATTGTAGTCTAATCTTTATAATAGATCATCATATCCATTAAGTTGATGCTTGACGATCAAATATCTCAAACTTTTATAAAGAGTTCCGCAATGTCATTTTGATAATACATCATTGCTTACAATTGTTAAATATCAGAAAAGAAAATAGGAACAATTGTGTAAATGCTTTCACGTAAATGACTGACCTTTCCTCGTTTTTACAGGGAGATATCCACCAGTCAGCTCGACTTCTTCAGGATGCTCGATGAGAAAATCGAAAATGTAAGTGATTTCTTGACGCATTTGACATTTAAGTCTTATATATCAATGATTCATTTCTTTTATCATACAATATCCTACCGCTTGCCCTTGCAATTCACCGTGTGACGAAGCTTCGAAATCCTGCGAAACGATTGTGATCAGCCTCGAATAACGTGGGTGTATTCGTTATCGCGTCGGCAAAATGCATTAGAATCAGGCCATGTAAAATAGATGTTCCCATAAGGCTTCACTGGCCTTGCGGCTAGCCTCGTCGCAATAATAATATTAATCCATGATCGGTTAGATGTTCAGCTCGTTACAACTTTTGTTGGACTACGGTGTATAAATTTTGCTCTATAATTCCTCTGTGCGTGCTCTCTGTCCTTGCAGTTGATTTGAAGATGTTCGTTTCTCGTCGCATTTTTCCTGCCTCGCGCATACTAGTTGTTCTTGACCGTTCTAGTGCTATCTCGATATCTCTGGTCGCTCTCATTGCAGCGACTTTTGCACGTAATTGTATCATAAATAACGCGATCCAGCATTGGAAGCATTCTTGGAGATCTTGCAATCCTTCGTACTTTAACATTAACGAATGTAGCTCATTGGAATATCAATTGTAAGGGATTAAGGTTGAAATTATGAAGTCATTCGGATGGAACTCCTAGCAGCCAAGTAACGTTGTGTGATGTGTTCGTATAATTTCAGGGACCGGATTATGACGAAAGTCTTGACGCGACCACCAGGGCCGAACGAGTTTCCAATCTCCTCCGTCAGTGGGAATTAGCCAGCGTGAGCTGGTCAAGCGTGTCCGATTTGAATAACGCGTCCCCAACCGCGACGAGGAATCGTAACTCGGGATTGGATTCATCGCGGCAGAGTTTGAGCGCGAAGGACAGAGAGGGAATAAGGAACATTGTCGGCGGTAGACCGGAGAGCGCTCCTATCTACATGAGGAACGCGAATCGAGTGGATGGTCTCCAGGAGATTCATTGCCCATCGCCGAATATGCCGAGACACGTGTTGGAGTCGATCACTCAAAGCCCGACTCAGAGTTTGAAGAACGCGACGTCGCCCAGTTCCTCTCCGACCAGCGTCCGCTATCATGACAGTTACAAGGAGTGCAGTGCAAACCAAACGACCGCGAAGACCGTGAAGGTTCATTACGGTGCTCAGAACCCCGTGAACGGGGAATATGTGACGCAACAGGCGCTCTATCGTGAACAGTATTTGCAACAGGCTGGAATAATCACAGTACCGTCTCAATATTCAGCCGGCTCGCCCGGCGGCAACGTCCTCAGAAACAATCCGTACGTGCCACAGTATCAAATCACCAGCCCGCAACACTTTACTACGCCGAGAAAACGTGGCTTCAACGCCGCCCAAATGACGTGACCGGCCTGACCGTGCACCACCAGATAAGACTGACACACGTAACACACATCTACACATCCTCTGCGATTTGAAACAGAAACAGAGAGAGTGAGTGAGAAAATAGTCGAGAAGGATTCGGCGAAGATCGCTTTTCGGGTTCTTCGTTGAAACAAGTTGATTCACGTAAAGCGGAAGAGGAGAGAGAGAGGGCCCATTAAGGCTGGAGACTGACCAACAGATGGAGAGAATAATCACGGATCTTTCTCTATATGTTCCTAAAGATTCCGTACATTTTTTCGTTTTGCGTTCGACGGCTATCGAAAATGCTACCATCCGACACAAAACTCACAAGGGCGCCGAGATACTTTCAGTGTTGGCCTAAAGCAATGTCCTGCGATATATCCGAAGAAATAAACCGTCTTACCCCTGCGTGTTATCCTTATCAAATTTACAGAATTCTTCGCTCTAAGTGCCAAAATGCTACTACGTAATAAACAATCCAAATGTCAAGAAAATAGAAAGAGAAAATTGAACGAAGGAGAGAATATTATCCGTTGAACCAATACTCCGTTCTTTGTAATTCATGTAAATGAACCTTTTTCGATGTGTATATGATATATACATACATACATATATATATATACACATACATACATACCTACATATATATATACATATATATACATACACATATATGTATGTGTTTTCGTTTACACTTGTATTTTCGTTCTCTTTTCTAATCGGTAGCGTACCATTGATAAATGTATATTTCTATAAAGGGAGAAACGAACAAAATAGAAAAAAGTATAAAAGAACCACACGCGAATTTCGTCGTAGAGTTTTGTATAATTGTGTATTAGCGAAATGTTTCGAGAGATATACATATTATATATACTTCGCATATACGTGTGTACGTGCATTTTATGTATGTATCTAAAGCGCCGAGAAAAGAAAAAATAGTACAGAACCGGATGAAGAAAACAGCAAATGTAGGGATCTTACTTATACTATGTATAGTGTCATTGTATGTACTGTATGGATACATTTAACTTAACGTGATGACTGTATATTTATATGTTGACCATGTTCAAAGTTAACGATATATATAGTTGATAATGAGAGTTTTATATTTCATGTTACGAATTTGCTCTATATTGTGGAATATACTTAACAGAATTCGCTGCATCATCGTCGAACTCTGGCAACTATATTTTGTTCCATTGCAACCATTCTTTTTTTATAAATAAATTCGTAATTTCTCCCCAATGAATAAAGTATTGCTCATTAAATTAGGGACTGCATGCAAATTGTTTTTACGTCTTAGTCTTCGTTCGAAGATTTAATTATTTGTTTAAAATATAAGGATGAAGAAAAAGAATAGTGTTTGTTGATTGATTCATAAGTTTTTCTCAAACGTTATAAAACACGATCCGTAAGAATGATCAGCAAACAAACAGTGTCTAATTCGGTTTGACACTCGTGTAACAAGATTTCGTTGTTCTGAAACCTTTGCGACAGATGCGAATCGAATTTATACGTAATATGAATATATACGTGCCATAAATAGTTTCAAAACCAAAACAATGTAAATTGATCATTCTAGTTTTTCAGTTGCAAATCCAATCATTTAATTCAAACAAAAGTTTCCATTATGATTTGTAAACCATTTAAACATGGATTACACGTGACTAAAAAGATTGAAGATCTAAGTGATGCACGATTTTCAAAAGAATCAAAATTATTTTCTTTGCGCGAAGTAATTGGAGAATAATTACTAAATCAAGAACTCAACAATTGTAAGAACCAGGAAAATCAGGGCCGATCTTCAGAGACAACAAATGAAGGAAACGTCGCGAACAGCTGCAATTCTACACCCAAAGGTAAGAAGGAAGTAGGGAAGCTTTTATGTAAGACGAAAGGACATCTTTCAAGATTGAGGCCTCGTTGGACTGGCAAAATCACAGGACTTTATAATATTATAATGATAAAATATAGTTGTATTTTAACACGTCTTATGAACTATTTCAAAAATAGTCAATTGTATTTCATGAAATTCTTTTTCTTTCAATTTTTTTAGCATTGGCCTCAAGCCAGTTAAAAATGCATCGGCAGAATGCTGATCATTAGCAGTATGCTGCTCATCGACAGCATACTGCTCAATATGTTTTAGCTTAGTTTGTTCTCCTCTCATATTCCTCATATTTTTGATTCCGTGTATTAGATGACGAACATGGTGTTAGAATTATAGGTGGAAGTACAATAAATAGAAGTATATTGTTCTTATGTAATTAATCTTTATTGTAAATTATAGTATGCTGCTCATTGACAGCTCTCCTAAAACAGTCAACTTCAGAAGCATGTTCATATCGCGATTCTTTAATTATTGATTTAAAATCTAAGATGTCTCTAAGTGATCATATAAGTATTAACCACTTACGTCTCGCAGATCATGTACGGATAAATTAAAAGATTTCGTATGTATATATTTATCTATAAATTTTAAGTATGCTGCGTATTTATGTTTTGGGGGGTTTCTTCTTTCTGCTAACCGCTGTAATTTTTTTGTTCGTGTACTTTCTGTAATTAGCTCTAATATTGTTCCCTCTCTTTTCAAACTGACGCTGAAAATAAAAAAAAACAGTGTTAAATTCTCTTAATTGTAATTGTTACTTTTTACAGGTAAATGGTAAAAATAGACACGCGCGCATGCAAGTTAAGGACGTTCAGGTTTAGGGATTTTATAACCTAATAATAGGGATTGTAACCGACTAGCTCGGCGAGAGTATTCGGTAAGGGAGCGGTTCGTGTCTCCTTGAGAGGAGGACTCGTAATTGGAAGGAAAAGCAGAAATAAATGAATTCCCGAGTATGTTAAAAATCGCGTATCTTTATGTATCAACGATGACTAGATTTG